AGGCATTCTGTATTTTTTTTCTCTAAATTTCTCGATTTTTTATATTCTCTTAACATTTACATCTTTTCCAATTCTGAAACAACCGTTCTGCTGTCAATACTTCTCTGCATTACTCTCTTAATGCACATTTGTTATATTACTACATAATTGTATATATAGAGTATAAAAAAACAATCAAAAATGAAGATTAAAAGAAAATTCTAGAATATCTCGGTGTTGACGATTTAAGAATAAAGATTCTATGGAAAAAAATATTCAATTATGATTTCGTTTTTTTCATCAGTTATCATATTATAGCCATTCGAATAATATTCCTAAATAAATGGAAAACTTTTAACAGCTCTCGTAAATAAACGGAGAAAGTTGATTGTAATTAGAATATGGTTGTAAATGTCTTCATATCTTAATTGGAAAAAATCGCTTTTGTTTATTATATCGTATAGGGATAAATCGATTCCGAAAAAAGATTCCATAATAATCCGACGAAAAATCATGATCAAACCCTCACTAATCGGAATTTCAAATAATTTTATATACACGATAGGTCCGCAAAGAAACTTCAATAACAATAGAAATAAAATTCGAGAAAATTAAACTTTCTCGATGTGCTCTTTATATGAAGATATAATCGTTACGATCGTGAGAAAAAAACTTGCTAGCAAAAAACATTCAAAAAGCTGCTACTACATATTTAATATAAAAGCAGTTACAATTGTGCTTCATTACAACCAATTTTTCAATATTAAATAATAACATCTTGTAGTTACTGTTTGAGTCGAAACAAAAGATCTTACACGACATCTTACATTTCGTGATAAAAATACACCAATTTACTGCCAAAACAAAATAATCTACTATCTCCATTTTCCTATTACAGCAAAATAAATATTTAAAAAATTTGCTGTATTATAGTAAAATAATTTGCAGATTGTCAAAACCATTTTTAATAAATAAAATTAGCATTTTCGAGTCTTTACTGTTCAGATTAAACCTTCAAAACACTTGTTATAACAACATAATATATATTATGTCAGTGTGAGCTTCTTTTTTCATATAGTATCAATAAACGGTTACTCAAATATAATCTTTCATTTTTTCTTAAGATCGTCGTATTACATGGAGCATTTATTGCTTTTAGTAGAGGGATAAATTTTGACGTATGTGCGACGAGATACGTATAAATATACAAGACTTTTTCGCCTCTAACAAAATTTATAATTGAATATTATATAACATAGATATGTATATGTACGTGTATGCATACAAACATATATGCATACATACATTTATACATACATACATGTATCCAGATAGTCAAGTCTGTCGAGAGTATATCTTGTCAAGTGTCTGATACAAATTCTTGTCAGCGAAAAGGCTACAAGTTTGTTACAGGGCTGTTATAATCGATTAAGTCAGCAAACTTGTGGCAGAAACCGAATAGGATCTGCCTGCACGCAATCTGATAGCAGATTGGCAACAGAAACCAAGCAGAGTCGGCATTTCCTAATCATGTAAATAGAATAGTAATGATATCAGATTATTAGCAGATTCTGCTCGGTTTTTACCGTCAATCTGTTGTCAGATTCTGTGAGTAGGCTTTACTGGCAGATCGTAAGCCTAATGCGGTCATAACTGATGTCAATCAACTTCTGAGTAAATCTGTTGCCAATCTGCTGGCATATTGTGCGTATTTGCTTATGGTAATTATTTACATTAACGGACACCTCGCCAATGACCTTGACTTTGACATATGTTGTCAAGGACATGACCCTGAGTAACTTTTTCTTATAACTTAACCGGCGGTCTCTTATAATTTCTGAGATATTTAAAGTTAAAGTTTGATTCGAAACGAAAATTTGGTTTGGATT